AGGCAGCCTGTGGCAAACCGGTTGCTAGTACCTCCGAGCAGGTAGTTTTTAATCCCGCATTTTCAGCGGTTTGCCATGGGTGCGCTCCCTTTCCCAGATGTTGCGGTGTGATCGCGCCCAGTTAATCCGCCATGCTCTTGTAGCTCTCCCGCAGCAAATCCTCCATGTGAACAGGGCCCTAGGCAGTTTTACAGAACAAAAGATGGGTGAGTAACAGTGCAAGTCCTATGCAATTTATTCCAGTCTAAAACCACTGAAGTCAATGGACCTTGACTGAAATAATTCTGCACAGAATTGAATTGTAAAAGTGATTCAGAAAAATTGTTCTGTGCAGGGCTCTTTTTGTAGCTAAAGCCCAGCAGGAACTCATTAGCATAATAGGCCACACCCAACAGCAGAAACTCATTAGGATATTAGGCCACACCCATGACAGCACAGCTCAATTGCATATTAGGCCACACCCCCATGTTACCAGAAGTGTGCTCATCCAGCCACACCCACCTTTTGCTTCTTGTTCTGCTTACCTTTTTTGTTGTCAAATCCCAGGGCTTTCTTTGTAGCAGGAACTCCTTTGCATGTTAGGCCACACACCCCTAATGTGTCCAGTCCTAATGAGTTTCTGCTGTTGGGTGTGGCCTATTATGCTAATGAGTTCCTGCTAGGCGTGGCCAACTTGGAAGCCAGCCGGAACTCCGTTCCTCTGCGTTCCTGCCCCAAAATAGCCCTGGTTCTGTGAGAAGCAGGCCACAATTCTCATGCTGTGAACACACGACATTCTCCCTGGACCCTGGCCTATCAAGACTGACCACAGGACAGATCTGCTCAACCTGATGCTGTTTACTTGGAAGTATTGCCCTCAATGGTGTTTATGCCAAAGTAATCATGCTGAGGATTACAGTCTTAGTGATGATTAAGGCTGCCACATTGGGACATTCCTGGAGATGTTGAGGTAGAGCCTGGGAAGGGCAGCGTTTAGGATGGGGAGGTCCTAGGGGAGTATAATGCCATAGCGTCCACCTTTCAAAGGAGCCATTTTCTCCAGGGGATCTTATATCTGTCGTCTGGAGATCAGTTGTACTTGCAGGTGATTTTCTGGCCCCACCTGGAGGTTGGAAAACCTGCGATAATTCCAGAAGTGTAGCCATATTAGCATGTAGCAGAAATACAACAGGACACCAGTGACACCTTAAAAACTAACCATTTATTCCACCGTTTATTAGCTTTTGTAAATCAGTGCTCACCAAATGCACCTGATTAAGTGAGCGGCACTCAAAAAGTTTATGCTGGAATACATTTTGTTAGTCGCTAAGGTGTCACTTGTAGGGTCATCAGTTTCCCTGGGGAAAACGGCAGCTCCGGAAAGCGGACTCGGCTGCATCACATCCCCGCTGAGTTCCCTCCCCTAACTCTGCCCTCCCCGGGCAGGCACACACACCCCAAAATCTCCAGGCATTTCCTAAAGTGGAGTTGGCAGCCCTAGAGACTGCAGTCTTTTTTTTACTTTGCACCTTTAGTAATTTAACTGTCAATCCTTCTTCCCTGGGCAGGGGTCATTTCGTAGAAAAAGAGCTGCAGGAGCTCATTAGCATAACTTATTAGCATATGCCACACCCCCTGACATCACCGGAAGTGTGCACCAGTCCCTCTGACAGGCAGAAGCACCTGGGAGCCATTCTTTCCCCCCTCTCCCTTCCCTTCGCCTCCAAGTCGGGCGAAGGAAAAGGGGAGGGGGAGGATCTCAGGCGCTTCTACCTGACAGAGGTACTGGCGTGCCCACAGCCAGCCTGGGTGAATTATAGAATCATAGACTCATAGAGTGGGAAGGGGCCTCCAGGGTCATCTAGTCCAACCCCCTGCACAATGCAGGAAATTCACCAATACCCCCCACACACCCCAGTGTCCCTGTTCCACGCTCAGAATATGATTTTAAAAACCTCCAGG